TTTGTATAGTTGGTTTAGTACTGTGGCTAATAACCATATTGAAGGGTTGCCTAATTTCACGTCGTTTCTGTACTGTTTAAACTGATAATTCATTTCTCATGTATTATCTATTGTTTTTTAATATATTCGTCGATTACTTATAAAAAAAAAAAAAAAATTAGATTAGATTAGTTACAGTAGTTTGATGAGATTCTAGTTTAGTTAGAAGTTCGTTTGATTTTAGTTTATTCTCTCTCCATAGAGGGCTTATTCATTGTAATAGACACGCTTGAATATATGAATAAAATTTGATTTCTTATTTCCCCTCAATTCTTCTCTTCTTTGATCCCCTTTCTTTTCTTGTTCGTTGTCAAATTAATACGTCTTGCGTCAACTTGTCTATGTATACAGCTGAAGAAGCCTTCTCATCCTAGCCGTGGCATTCCAACAGCAATAAATTGTCTTGCCACTCTGCTTAAAGAGCCAGTAGTGCGATCTTTGTTTGTTCAAGCAGATGGAGTGAAGCTCCTAGTTCCTCTAATTTCTCCAGCATCCACTCAACAGTCCATGCAGGTAACAATATTGTTGAGTACGAGTACAAGCAAAAGCACCTAACCTCTATACCTAAATTACCTGAGTCGTAGATATTGGTTGGTGGATGGGTTCTCAATCTCATCCTGGAGTTATGTAAAGTTGGAATTCTTAAAACTAACGTAATATCTGATCTCTGTATCAGTACTTCAAATTTTGACATTTCTGAAATTTAATTTATTCTTGAAACAGCTCCTCTACGAAACATGTCTATGTGTATGGCTTTTGTCTTATTATGAACCTGCAATTGAGTACTTGGGCACTTCTAGAACCCTGCCACGTTTGATTGAAGTTGTTAAGGGTTCCACAAAAGAAAAGGTGAGTTCCTGTCGGTAATTCATGCTGAGATCAACCATGTTATTGGTTTAATATATTCTTGTTTAGCCTTTTGACTCTTCAGATTGTTTTTTATCTGTAGCATCTGCACAATTTCAGCTTATTATTCCTAAAACTTTCTGCAGACAGATTTTTTTTTCTATTTAACAGCTGTCTGAAAAATTCTCACTATCAAATTATGAATAATGTTGTGTTCTATTCTTTTTTTACATATTTCACCCCAGTATGTAACATCTATCCCATCTTTGCTATTAGGTTGTCAGGGTAGTTGTGTTGACTCTTAGGAACTTGCTTCAAAAGGGGACATTCGGTGCTCTGATGATAGATTTGGGACTGCCTCAGCTTGTCCAGAGTTTGAAAGCACAGGCATGGAGTGATGAGGTGAGAGAAATCTCTCTCTATAGTTTCTAACTATTTAATTGGTTTCTTATTTAGAGCTTGTTTGAGCCCCATTTTTGGTGTAGAATGCATTTTGGAATAGTAGATTGATGAAAAATGTGTCGTTAAAAATAAGAAAATTTTTTGGATTTGCGGGTAATATTATTTTATTGAAGAATGCGTAGTTGCAAATAGGAGAAAGAAAAATGTATTTTGGAAAAAAAAAAATGGGGATTAAACAAGGGCTTATTTCTGAAATCAAAAATTAGGAAAATGGAAAAGCTGTTTTCGAAAAAGGATGCATTTTTCACACGCAAATTACATAAAGAAATAGTACCAAAGTTTTATTTCCTTTACATTTAGACAAGGCACTGGCAAAGGTATAAATGCTTTCTTCTTTAACGTTGAGAATTATCATGTCTATTATGTGCCAATTTATGTGGGAAAAGGTCTGCCTATTCCTTGCTTATGATTTGTCAAGGATGCCTCAACTGCTGAGATGCAATGTGGTGCAGTGCTTTTGTTCCTTTTATGGGTTTGTGGGGGCAAGGACGGTGGATCGATTTATCATGTTAATATGACACATTTATGACATGTTAAAACAAATTCATCCAATCATAATGGCTGCACTTGAAATTAAGTACTGCTGTAGTAGTAGTAGCTCACTTGATTATCTTCAGTGCCTTCTTTATGCTGAGCCATCATAAAAATGAATATTGCTTTTGTGCTTAGATGATCTTCCCCACCCTCTTCTTACCCTTGATATTTCAAGTGCTAAAGTGAGAATGTTCTCTGTAGGATCTGCTTGAGGCTCTGAATCAACTGGAAGAAGGACTGAAAGATAACATTAAGAGGCTAAGTTCTTTCGACAAGTACAAGCAGGAAGTCCTCCTTGGACATCTTGATTGGTCCCCAATGCACAAAGATCCTGTTTTTTGGCGGGAAAATATTACTAACTTCGAAGAAAATGATTTCCAGGTATT